ACACATACTCACTGGTCTAACACTGGCACAGATGCCGTGGAACTAACTAACTATTACTGACTATATTTAAGCCAGGCATTGTGCAGCCAGACACAAAGACTAGCCCATTATTTAAACCCTCCAGCTCAGTGGCTGCCCATCACTTCCAAGTGTCTTCTCTAGCACTCCTCTAAGGTCAACAGTGTTGACTGTTGTGGGAAGTAGAGGAAGCCCTGAGCAAATATGTAAGAAGTGGTTAAGTCCTAAATGAAGGGGTACTGTTGACATGAACACAACCAGTCAAGGACCCCAGTGCCTCAGAGCCATAGGAATAGCAAAGTCTTCCCCAGGTCAGGCTCAGAGAAATGGCAAAGCCTTCCCCTGGTCCATGTGTGGATGTTGACAGTATGTGCAGATATTATAATTGTAACTTCCTCTTCCTAGGTGTTTACAGCCTGAGACTGCTCCCCTATAGAGACCGCCCCCTTACACAGATTAGCTAAACCAGCCTCCTTGTTCAGTTGAGCTGTATGTAAATACACCCATCTTCTCGATTCAGATTTAGAACATAATAACACTATGTTTCTGAACTGCTGGTGTTTTCCTGTATCAATCCAGCTTTTCTGTATGGGTGCCTGTTGTTTCTTCATTCCCTCTTGCCCCATTTAGGTCAATCCCTAAACCCTGCAAGACTGAGGCAGACTGTGCCCTTGGGAATGTATTTTGATTGCATCTACTGTCTGTGATTTCTCAGTGTGATAAGCTGGGCTCTGAACTTCATCACCCATTAGATTTTAGGAGACATGAAAAATGCTTCCTGCATGAAGATGTCCATTGTGCAGTTATTTATAATGGCCCAAACTGGGAGCAAGCAAAGGTCTCAACTGTGAGGGGAAGATCAAATAAAGCATGGAACTCAATACTTCTGCTGCAGTCACAAGGAGTTTGCAAGTCTATTTACATGAAGTGTGAAATGACTGAAAATATTGGGGGGAAAGGCAATGCTTTTCTAACTGCATAAAGGGTCTTTGGTCCTGCCTTCAGCTAGGAGGTTCCTCTACCCTGCCTTCAGCTAGGAGGCTCCTCTACCCTGCCTTCAGCTAGGAGGCTCCTCTACCCTGCCTTCAGCTAGGGGGCTCCTCTACCCTGCCTTCAGCTAGGAGGCTCCTCTACCCTGCCTTCAGCTAGGAGGCTCCTCTACCTTGCCTTCAGCTAGGAGGCTCCTCTACCCTGCCTTCAGCTAGGGGGCTCCTCTACCCTGCCTTCAGCTAGGAGGCTCCTCTACCCTGCCTTCAGCTAGGAGGCTCCTCTACCCTGCCTTCAGCTAGGGGGCTCCTCTACCCTGCCTTCAGCTAGGGGGCTCCTCTACGCTTCCTTCAGCTCTGACTCACACGTGCAACATTTTAAGCAAACCACCAAGCCACTCAGCGATGTCATAGAACCCAACAAAGCTTTGTCAGTGCTAAAGCTGATACAGTGACTTCCATTAAAAAAATCTCATTTACTGTTGGATTGCAAGCTCATCTTTAAAAAAAAAAAAAAAAAAAATGCATCAAAAACATTCTCGATTCTATGAAGAAAGGAATTTACAAGCATTCTCAAATCTTATTTAGTGAACACTAAATAAATACATAAATAGAAAATACGCCATTTTAAAAAACAATCCAGGAATCTGTCTTATTTCAGTGTTTCCTGCCATAAGTCATACATGGTAAATTATTAAATCTACCTAAGGGAAAGCAAATTGTTTTCATTTTGCAAACCAGCTGCACAAGTTCCGTAGTATCTGCCTGAGGATCCCAGGCCAAACAGAACACCAGTGAAGATGAGAAACCTGAATGTTTAGCAGCATTGGCAGGTGAAACGTCCTTGCATACTGTGCATTTTCTGGCCTCCAGAGAAAAGCACCTCCACAGGCAGAAGTAAGAGGAAAAAATGTGGGGGAATATGATTGGCAGAACAGTGCAGTGTCCCTCCCAAGACACCCATGTCCTAATCCATGAAAGTTGAAAAGGAATTAAGGTCATAGGATTAGACTGGGGATTAGCTTTCCTAGCATGCACGAGGCCTGGGTCCATCCCTGTCACTGAAGAAAACACAGTAACAACCAAAAACTAAAGGGCAGGAATGAAGACAAAGGTCACTAATCACCTGACCATAGGCTAAGGGCTTTACCTGGGTTATAAGAGTATCATCACAGGGGCCTTTAAATATTTTATTATTTGAAACAAGGTGTCATACATCCCAAGATGGTCTTGAACTTGCTACATAGTCAAAGTTGACATTGACTCTGAACCTCGTGTCCAACTCCTGAGTGTTGGGATCACAGACATGTGCCACCATTTCAAATTTACATGGTGGGGACTAAAATAGAGAGTATGCTAGGCAAGCGTTCTATCACCTGAGCCACATCCTCAGCACACACAAGGTGTTCTCTCTCTCTCTCTCTCTCTCTCTCTCTCTCTCTCTCTCTCTCTCTCTCTCTCTCTCTGTGGTGTGTGTATACATGCTTGTATACCCCTGCACATGTGGCCATGAGGGCACATGAAGAGCAGAGGCTACTGCCAGGCAGGTAATCTTCAATCTCCACCTTACGCTCTTCTCACTGAACCCAGAACTCGCTCTCTGACTCAGCTAGGCTGGCAGGCATCCACATCCAGTGATCTGCCTGTATCCATCCCCCCAGTGCTGTGTTTCCAGACATGCATCACCATATCCAGCTTTTCATGTGACTGCTGGGGAGTAAACTCAGGTGTTCATGGTTGTTCAACAGTCATCTCTCCAACATCATCCCCTCCCCAGCCTCCAAAAGAAAGTCAGAGAAGATATGAAGGGACACGGCCTGTTGCTGGCCTTGAAACAGAGGAAGAATTACAAGCCAGGGACTGCAAGGGACTCCAGCAGTGGAGGAAGACAAGGACGTGGCCTTCAACACTGGCCTTGCCAGCATTCTCTTTTGATCTTAGTGGAGGCCATGCTAGACTTCTGAGTTATAAAATATGTATGTTGTTTTGACATAACATGGTGGCAATCCATTTTAGCAAGAGGAAACCAACACGGGGGTGAAAGGGTACAAGACAGAAGAGGAATTGCTACTGTCTGGATGAGAGCGGCTGGTGGGGAACAATTCCATACTGCTTTATGAGCTAACAGAGAAATCTCCCTTAGACAGACTGGCACAGGAAAGTTACGGGTCAGATAGGAAGGCTGGCTGTGGTGTTCCTCAACCTGTGTGAGCTTCATTCTCAGCTGTGGCACTACTTGATAAAGAGGATCCAGAATCTACTGGAAGCCTAAGGGGGACCAGCCATGGCTCAGGGACCAGCTCAGGGCAGCAACACCAGGCCCTGCACTGGATGCCAAGGGCCCCACACAGGAAATAGGTGGTAACTACCGGTGGGGATGTTTAACAGAATGAATCCCACATTCATCCCCGACGCATCTACCCCACAGTCCAGTCTTAGAAAAACGAGGATTTAGTTCAGGGCTAAAGGCTGCTTCAGCTGTTCCTGGTTAAGACAAGCTGAAAACCAAGGGTGAATGCAAAGCCCCCTGAGACTGCGGCAGCTAGAAGAACTACCCGCAAGGGGCCTAATTTCTCACCTACAAAGACAGATGCTGGCTGCTTTGATGCACTGTGTGCTCGAGCATGGTGAATGCATGACTACAAGTGTCGACTGCTGATGAAACACCTTTGTGCACTGTGAGATGAGAAATGAAGTCCCCCCGTTTCAATTATATAAAACACAGGCATAAAATGGAAGACCTAACAGATGCAGTCGCGTGATGCTCCAGGTGATACATGGGTTCCACCTTAGCAACTCATGTTTACTGCAGACCCAGGATCGGCTCCCTGAAAACAGTTTGCATGACGGTAGCTTTTCCAACTCCTCCCTTCTCCCCAAAGTCACTGAGAAAGACATAGCATGAACAGCATGGAACAAACCGGGGAGGATGTGGTTTAAGTGCCGGCTCCTTCCATTTCTGGTTGCTCAGTGTACGTCCACCTTCAATCACATGAAGAGAAGTCCTAGGAACCCTCACAAGCTGTTCTGAGCACAGGATGAGGTTGCTGCTGGGGAAGGTTCTTCTCACCTCACCAATGACAGACACAGTCAATGTGATTACAGCAGCTGCCATCACACTGTATGTCAGAAAAGACTAGAGCTGATCAGCTACACTGTGAGGATCGGGTTCTTCATGCGAGAAACAGGAGCAGCATATGTACTGTGGGAGGTCCAAGATGATAGGCGTGCGCCTTGTTATACAAAGCCAGCACCTGAGATGTTCAGTCAGTGGGAGCTGTAAGTGTGGTGACCAACACTGTTTCCGTATTAGATAATTCTATGAAATTTTACAGCAGGCATTTTCAAAGAACATTTTAGAGCAAAATAGTCAGAAATCTTAAAGATTCCATTACCCTGTGTACATACCAACAGACATAGCATTGTCAAGAGTCAGGCTGCTTGAAGTGATACACAGAGTTTTGACTGAAAAGCATACTGGGTCACCTTTCTTCTTCTCCATAATTACATGAGAGACTGGTTAAGTACATACCACCACACACATTAAAGAAACATCACATACAAGTATTAGGAAAAGATAGAGAGACGCCATCCTCCAAGCCCTGCCACATGCTAGGCACTGCAGAGGGTACACCAGAGCACTCTTCCACTCACATAAAAAGCCTGCCGGGTAGGCTTCATCACACCCGTTTGACCAGGCAATGAACCTGCAGTAACCCAAGATCTGAAGGCATGGATATACGCCCCTAAACCTGGACTTTTCCTCCCAGCTCATCCCAGTTCTGAGTGGTAAATGCATGCCTTGTCTTCTGTCTGCGTCCTCTGACACTGTTCCTTGAATTGGTCTCTAAAGCATAAAGGAAGACTATGCTTCTGGAAAGAAGGAGCACAAAATCGACTCCACCCATGCCAGCTAAAGGTCTGGAAAGCAAAGGCAATGTCGAAAGTGGTGTGTGTCCAGCTGGAATTCCCACGGCCACCTCCCATGCCCCTTACCTTAAAAGAGGCATGCTGCTCCATGTGCCGCAGCAGCTGTGGCTTCTGGGCTGCTGTGTAGTCGCACACTGTGCACTTGAACTGTTTCCCTGGAAAGAAGCGGAGGACAAGGTGAGCGATGCCAGCCTGGCAGCTCCTGCACGTAACGGGGCCAGTACACAGAGGTGGCCCTTGCCAGGAGGAAGAGCAGATTCTCAGAGGGGATCGAGAGCCAGTATGATCAGTTGTCAGCAAGTAGGAGCAGGAAGGAGCCCACCACTGAAGGAAGAGAGGGGCCAGCTTCACCCAGGGAAGCTGTGAGTGGTAACTAACACTGGAGCACACTTCGACAGGAAGAGAAAAGGTATGGCCAGCCACCTAGAGAGAGAAGGGCACTGAGAAAAAAACAGAGGTGTTCAAGAGAGACAGAGATAGAGACACTGATCAGCAAAATGGGCCACGGCATGGTCAGAAACATGAAACAGCAGCACCTTCCTTCCGGAACCAGAAGTATGCGGTCTACAGGAAGTTCAGAGCTAACCTGAAGAAGAGGGAAGCCAGAACATTGAGGATCCAGGGCATCTCAATGAAGATGAGGTCCTGAGCATCAGAGGAGTCTACAGAAAGATGCTCTACACGGAGAAAGATCACTGTGCAAACCTCCCATGCAAACAGCACGCCTTCAGCAGTGCCACAGACAACTTCAGAGAAGATCATTGTCTTAGCAATGTATAAATATTCTACAATCAGGTGAATGGGTGTACGTGTCAAAACAAAGAAATGGATATGAGGAACACATTACACTTCTCCTGATGAGAGTAAACAAAATCTCCATTTGCCATCATACAAATATGTAACCAAACAGAAGTATGACCTACTATCTGCAGTAGTAAAGGGTCCTAATAGTGCCAGCATTATGGGAACATAGCTACTGCCCCTGCAGTGTGGATCCCAAGAAATCCTTGCTCCTCTGGAAAGCACCACACTGCTACTTCAGACCAGACAGGTAAGACTCTCTGTAGCTGCATCCCTATATCCCCCTGTTCTGCAACCCTGAAGTCAAAGCAAACCAGGGAAAGGCACAAGTAGCCTTGACACCTGTTCTTATGAAGGTAATCACTAGGTCGGGCCAATGACAGATGCTGCTCCTGGTTTTACTAGATGATTCTACTATCTGAGATTCTGCTGCCATTCTATGACCTGAAAACCTTATTCTTTAGTATGACATCACCACCACTTTTGTGTGTGTCTCTGACTAGTCACTGAGTATCTGGGTGACAGAACTCATGTCCATCATTCTCTATAAACTGATGTCCCACAGCCCACATTCTGATGCATCTAGCCCACATTCTGATGCATCACTGCACATGACTGTTCTCCACAGTTCTGGCACACGCTTGATGCCCAAATCTACACCTCTGACTCAGTCCTCTTCCCTCAACCCAACATTTGAGAAGTCACCTATTGTCTTAGTCACTGTTCTAATGCTGTGAAGAGACACCATGACTAAGGCAACTCTTATAAAGGAAAACATTTAATTGGATGTGGCCTACAGTTTCAGAGCTTTAGTCCATTAACATCATGGTGGGGAGTACAGTGGTCTGCAGGCAGATATGGTGCTGGAGAAGTAGCTGAGAGTTCTATATCTGGATCCATAGGCAGCAGGAAGAGAGAGCAAAAAGACCTGACATGGGCTTTTGAAACCTTAAAGCCCAGTCCTAGTGACACACTCCAACTAGACCACACCTAATTCTCTTCAAATAGTACCCTTCCCTGAGGACTATGCATTCAAATATATAAATACTTATTCAAATCACCACATTCCATTCCCTGGACACCACAGGCTTGTAGCCATATCATAATACAAAAATGCATTCGCAACAACTTCAAAAGTCCCCATAGTCTTTCACAGTCTCAATACACCTTCAAAGTCCAAAGTCCCTTCTGAGACTCATGGAAATCTAACTGTAATCCCCTGTAAAATCAAAATAAAAAGGAAGATCACATACTTCCAGTATACAATGCCACAGGATATATATTACTATTCCAAAAAGGAGGTAAAGGAACACAGTAAAGAAATACTATAATACCAAAGCAAGAATGAAAACCACCAGGACAATCTACAAACTCTGCATCTCCACATCCAATGTCAGAACACTCTTCAGATCTCCAACTATTGCCAGCTTTGATGACTGCAACCCACTTCTCTCTCTTGGGCTGGTTCCATTCCCTGTTAGCAGCTGTCTTTGGCAGGTACCCCACACCTCTGGCATCTCCAACATCTTAGGGTCTCCAACACAATCCAGGATTCACTCTCACAGGTTCACATAATGGCCTCTCTGGGCTTCCATGCAAGAACTAAGCTTTCCTTAGCCATGGTAGGGGGTGGGGGTAAGATTCAACAACCTTTTTCTTGTGTCCTTGACTCTAAAGACAGAACTACATGGCCAAAGCTGCCAAGTTCTGCTGCTTGCTAGGAACGGAACTTGGTCCCCTCATTCAAATACATTTTTATCAGCTTTCTGTTTTGATGGTTTCCTTCACTGCTTAAGCTTTTCTGTAATTCTTTTTCACTTGTTGGAAGCTTAGCTGGATAGGGTCTTGCCCTGAGTTCACTGCCCCCTTTATTCCATCAGCATTAGGCTTCTCTTTAAATTTTTCACCTCCTTGAGCACTGGACTTGGCTCCAACATTACATTTCCTGCTACTCCTTTTCTCCTTAAACTAAATATTTTGTATTTTCCCTTGCTCAGCTTCTTTATTTTCATTATTTATCTGCATAAGTGTGATCACTAATGACTACACAACACAGTCAATATGAGTCTGACTTGAAATCTCTGTCAATGCTGTTCATCAAAAACTCTTCAATTTAGCCTCAGGCAGACTTTTGGACAAGGGCAGAAAACACCACATTCTTCACAAAAAAAAATCACAAGAACAGTCTCCAGGCCACTTGCTAGTCTTCTTCCCCTCTGAAACCTCTTGAGCTGAGCCATCATAATTTACACTGCTCTCAGCATGACTGTCTTCCATGTTCCTACTGGGATGACCCATTATGCCCCACTTGTTCCAGTGTTCAACTGCTTTGTTAATCCAAAGTTCCAAAGTCCACATTCTACCAATAAGCAGCATGGTCAGGCCTAGTATAGTAATACCCCAATCCCTGGCACCAACTTCTGTCTTAGGTGCTGTTCTATTACTGTAAAGAGACACCATAACTCTTATTTTTAAAAAAAGCATTTAATTGGGGTTTTCTTATAGTTTCAGAAGTTTAGTCCACTATTCTCATTACAGGGAGCATGGTGGCATGAAGGGATACATAATGCTGGAGAAGTAGCTGAGAGTTCTACATCTGGATCTGCAAGAGAGAGTGACACTGGGCCTGGCATGGGCTTTTGTTACCTCAAAGCCCACCCCCACTGACACACTTCCTACAACAAAGCCACACCTCTTAATCCCTTTCAAATAGTACCACTCCCTGATGACTAGACATTCAAATACATGAGGCTTTGGGAGCCATTCTTATTCAAACTACCATAACCATCTACTGGACTGGTCACTTACCTGCCCCAGTGTCCTAAGTTGGACTAATTATCATCCTCAGCAAGTGGGCTCCATGTCTAGACATCCCAGCATTACCCATGTCACCCAAGTCTAATGCCTGGTAGTTTCTTCAGATCTATGAACTTATATGTTGTGGTTTGGATGTGAAGTGACCTCCCCAGACATACACATTCAAACATTTAACCCCCAACTGGTGGTGCTGTTTTAGAAGGTTACAGAATATTTGAAAGGCAGGGCTTAGCCATACGAAGTGGGGTCATACATGGAGGTTTGCACCTGGACTCTACTTCCTGTCTAGTCTTTGCTTCCAGATCAACCCAACCCAGATGTGAACAGACTTCTCCTACCACAGCCACAGGCCACTCCCACCACCACATCACTCCTTCCACCCACACCTTACAAAACATCATTTCACTGCAGTTTGCTTCCCACTCTGCTCACTGTAACTGCCTGCTCACAAGCTAGGCTGCAATCACCTGCCATGTCTCTTTCATCTTAGCAACCCAGTGTCTGAGTGTATACATACTTGAACATATTTTGTGACTCTTATTAAGTGGAAATAGGCAAGAAACAAATAAGAAAGCTTTTATATTTTACACAGGCAACACCCTTGATGAGAGCAGCAAAAAGAAAACAAATGGTTCAAGAATATTAATGCTAGGTTATACCTCTCTTTATATGTATGAACTCTAAATTCTAGATTCATTCTCTCTCTCTCTCTCTCTCTCTCTCTCTCTCTCTCTCTCTCTCTCTCTCTCTCTCTCTCTGTGTGTGTGTGTGTGTGTGTGTGTGTGTGTGAGAGAGAGAGAGAGAGAGAGAGAGAGAGAGAGAGAGAGAAAGAGAGAGAGAGAGACAGAGAGAGAGAGAGGAACATCTGTGTATGTCATGTACATCTGGGTTCCCAGAGAGGATGGAAGAAGGAAGCAGATCAGGTAGACCTGGAACTGGAGTTCCAGGTAGCCATGAACCAACCAGTGTGGCTGCTGGAAACCAAACCGTTCCTTTAAAAGAGCAAGCAAGTGCTTTTAACTTTTGAGCCGTCTCTCCACCCTGATTTTACTAAATCTTAAAGTCCAAACTATAGAGATATTTTTACTTGTAAAGTATGCAAGCTACAGCTAGAGAATAACTAAAATGGTTTTTTAAATACATTGTCAACTTTTTCTCAAACATACAGTCACATAGTTCTACACATCACCAGCATAACCTCAGCCATGCATATCTTTCCACTAACCTATGACTCACGTGACTACATCAGCATGGTGCCAGTAGCAGAAGAAAATGCTTAGATTGTTTACTAACATACTGAGGGAGGAAAGTGGATAGAACTGTTCTCAGTATCAAACAACCAGATCAAAGAATAAAGTATTAAGCGTTAAAAGGAAGCCGTGAAGGGCCAGGCAACTGATTCAGCAGTTAAGAATGCACACTACTCTTGCAGAGGACTAGAGTTTGGTTCCAGCATACATGGCAAGCTGCTCATAACCACTTGTAATTCTAGCTCCAGGGGATTTGACACTCTCTTCTAGAATGCACCAGCACTACA